TTTTTTTTTTTTTTTTTTTTTTTTTTTTTTTTTTTTTTTTAGTTGAATGGTCGACTCTCTCCCAGGTATTCTAGTTGCCTGTTGAAAAGGCGCCGGGATCTGTGTGATTTCCCATGCGGCGACTCACTGCGCCAGCTGAAACAGCGGCGCTGAGATTCGTGGCAGGTTTTTTGCCCAGGAATCTCCTGGCCTGGCTCCCTGTTTCGGTTCCTTTTTAAATCGGATGAATGGGCGATCTGCCTTCCCGGGTCTCCAATCGCCAGCTAAAAGGGCAACCTGACCTGTGTATTTTGTATGGAGAACCGCTGCGCCAGGGCTCCAGCAAAGCAACCACGCAGGCCAAAACAGCTGCGCTGGCAACCCGCGGGGCTCCTCCACCTGGGAATCTCCTGGTCTGTGGGCAATAAAAATCCATCTGGAAATGCAGCATCCACTCACCCTCTGTGCTTTCACTGGGAGCTGCAATCCTGAGCTGTTCCTAGTCGGCCATCTTGGGTGCTCTCCCAGTTTGCAGTTTTAAACGACTTTTCAAAATTCATACATCACCTACAGCTGGTCCTTCCTGACCGCCCTCACTTTCTTGTAGCATCAGAACCTTCTCGAGAAGCAACCATGCCAGAGAGTAAAGTTTCAGAGGCTCTTACCCAACCCCACGCTCCAGCCTGACCCTCCAGCATATGTGTTGCACATGGCGGCTTTGCGTGAATGCCTTTGCTAGCTGCTTCCTTTGTCCTAGAGTCCCAAATAGGAACTTAACATTCTCCTGGGGAGTGTACCATGGGACCTGCCCCACTTTGGATTTTACTGTGGATTTTAAAGAGAAGCTCAACTGGCTTGGCCTGCCTGGTATGACTGTTTCCAGCAGAGTAAAGTCAGGACGTGGCCCCCTCTCTGTCTCTCCCTCCCTCCCTCTCTCTCATCTTTTTGAGATGGAGTCTTGCTCTATTGTCCAGGCTGGAGTGCAGTGGCACAGTCTCAACTCTCTACAACCTCCGCCTCCCAGCTTTAAGCAGTTCTCTTCCCTCATCCTCCAAAGTAGCTGGGATTACAGGTCCATGTGACCACACCCGGCTAATTTTTGTATTTTTAGTAGACACAGGATTTCACTATGTTGGCCAGGCTGGTCTCGAACTCCTGACCTCAAGTGATCCACCCACTTCAGCCTCCCAAAGTGCTGGGATTACAGGTGTGAGTCACCATGCCCAATGTAGCTTCCCTTCTCTTTTAACCTGCACCATTATGGCTGTACAATGCAGCGTTCATATGTAAGAGCTTTACTGACAAAAACACTTTGGTCCTGGCTCAGCCACTTAACAGCAAGTTGCTGCTTTCTCTGAGTCTCACTTTCCTCCTCTGTGAAATGAGGGTGATTACTCCCACCTCAGAGTGCTGTTTTAAGGATCACAGGAGCTGATGTGTGTAAACTGCTTAGCACAGTGGGACCCAGAGGGTGCTGGTGAGGAGGCAGGAGTTGCCTCCTGAGGCCATGCGGGTGGGCTGCTCTGTCATACCCATGACATAGCCCGTGGTCATCCATGGAGAATGGCGTGGCTCAGCAGGCCAGTTGTATGTCTGGTTTTGCCAGAAGATCGTAGCATAAGATTATTTATTGTAAACCCAGCATAATTATTTTTGGTAGTCATCTTCAATTTCAAATTAGGCCATAGATTTTGTATACTTTATTGGTAAATATTGGTTGGCTAGTAACCCAGTAAGATTTTAGGAGGATTCTGTGTCTGGGAGTGAACTCTTATTTTAAAAGGATAGTATTGTGTAGCGGAGGGGCCCCACTTAGCCCAGTAGAACTGGTTTGGATGCTGGTTCCACAGCATAGTAGCTAAGAGACCTTGGATGATTGTGTCAGAACTCTGGGGCTCAGTTTCCCCATCTGCAATGTGGAGATGACAGCAACCGAACAAGGCTACAGATGAAATGACAGTTGTGCTTGGGACTGGTTGCTGCAGGAGCACAAACATTCCTTTGCACTGTTCCACTCTCACTGGACCAGGGCTCTTCACTAAGGGGGACATTTGGCAGCATGTGGAGGCATTTTGGTTGTCATTACTGGGAGTGGGACGCCACTGGCATCTAGTAAGATGCTGTTAAACATGCCACAATGCACAGGACTGTCCCTTGAGCAAAGAATGGTCTGCCCCAAGAGTTGGCAGTCCGGAAGCTGTGAGCCCCGAGCCTGGAATTCTGGTGCATGTCTCTCTGACTCTGATGATTTGAGCACTTTTTTTTTTTTTTTTTGCACTGGGATTTCCTTCTATCTTGGGTAGTCTTTTATGTGAAAAGGCTCACAGAATTACAGAACGCAGGTGTAATGAGTGATAGCTTTCGTGAATCAGCTTTGTTGAAGATCCCGCTGGAGCCTGAGGGCGGCCCCCAGGAGCTGCGCCCACCTCTCCTCACAGCCTGTGCAGACGGCTGCACACACCTGGCCTGTGACTTGTTTTAGAAGCAGCTGCTCTTCCTGAATGTGAGCGACTTGGCTTTTACTTGACCTAGAAATGCATTTACAGGCACGCTGAAAGGAATAGACTGATCTTTTTGAGCACCTTCACATTCATCATCTTTCTTAATCCTTTAACTCCAAGGAAGGTGATATCTATCCCTATTTAGCAGATGAAATTGAGTCTCAGAGAATCTTGCTTATCACATGACAAAGAGTCAGATCTGGGATTCAAACCAGGTCAATCCTACCTCCAAAACATGACTCTTTTTTTTTTTTTTTTTTTTTTTGGCCTACCTAGTACATCTCTGACTGCTGAAATACATAGACCCCTTTTATAGAAAAATGCATTCTGACAGCTACCTATATGCCTTGCGGTGGCTCAGTTCACCCACGCTTTTCGCGAGGTGCACTAGTGCAAAACCACCCTTGTGGGAAGTGTGCACGCTTGTATTTGGCTCAGATGTGCCAGCTGTGTTCTACATTAATATCTGTGCTTTCCTCACCAGACCACAACAGTTGAGGCAACCCCACTGAGTACCAAATGTACATACTGGCATGATGGGTTCTTGATGGGAGCACTGCCTAGAGCACTCCATCAGTAGCCTTCCTGCAGCCATGGCCAGGCTCTCTGCTATCCCAAACAGAAGGCCATAGCCACATGAGGGTCCTGGGCATTTGGAATGTGGCGTGTGTGGGAAGAAAGTGCATTTTACATTTTATTGAATTTTAATTAGTTACAATTCAAGTAGCTACCTATGGCCCATAGCTACCATAGTGGACGGCACATGTCTAGAACGTTGGTTCTCAAGTTACCTGGAGAGCTTTTAAACTTCCCATTGTGGAGGCCACACTCCAGACCAATTTAAATCAGACTGTCTGGGAGTGGCACTCACTCATAGGTTTTCCTTATGTTGTCCTGGATGATTCAGGAAATGCTTATATCACTTCTTAAAAGATGTCATCAAGATTAAGTCACACAAATTCAACTTTCCTAGGGAATTTACGGGACCTCAGTTTGAGAAACTAGTGTGTAACCTGCTGCCTGTGGGCATTTCCCGATTCTTTTATTTTTTTTTTTTTTAATTAAAATTTTCCCTTTTTGGCTGTGATTTTACCATTGGCTCATCTCCGGCTGCTTGATCCCTCTGTGCTTGTCTTGGGGCTATCGTGAGTAAAGGTCTAATGCTGAGTATGTTTCCCCGCAGGATGGCAAACTGTCATGAGTCGTGGCAGTGAGAAGTCCGCCAACATTTTAGATTGCCTTTTGACTTTAAAAACAGAAGTTCCGATTATGACCGAGGAGCAAAAGCAGGATTTAAATCCCCTGATCATAAAGATCAAGTGTGCTTCCTGCCTTCCATCACAGCCTGTGCCCATTCAGGAACTAGAGGTAAGAATGAGCCAGACGCTTGGTTTAGAGCTCCTCCCCTTCCACCCACCTGCCCATCACATGCCATCTCTAGTCCTCCCAATGGCCCCACATGAGAAATATGATCATCACCTACATTTTACCATTTAGGACCCACAGCGAGATACAAAAGAGATGGGGTTCCTGGGATTAGGCATGACCAATCCTGAGGTCTCTTACTAGGCCACAGGTGCTCTTCAAATGCTGGTCATGAGCTTCCCTTCCGGAGCCCCCAAGGCTTCCCTGTTCCCACAGCAGTTGCCAGCCGGATGCTTGCTCTTTGTGAACCAACCAGGTTCAGCACTGCTGTTTATTCTGGGAGTTTCTTGCTCCCTCTTCCGGTTGGATCCCTGTCTCCTGAATTCTGTCTTCCTCTTCCTTTATTTGCTGTCTGGTTTTGCTAGAGTGCATCCTCCAGCAGCTTCTTCAGAAAAGGTCAGTGGGAGATTTATTTTTGAGATCTCATATGTCTGCAGATGGATTTTTTTCTATCCTTTTTTATCCTTACACATGACTGGTAGTTTGGCTGCCTATTGAATTCTTGGCTAAAAATAATTTGCCTCCGGAGTTTTGAAGGCATTGTTCCATCTTTTATTTTCATACAAGTTGAACCTTTGTATGCGACCTGTTTTTTCTTTCTCCAAATGCTTATAAAATGTTTTTTGTCTTCTTTTTAATTTTATCTATTTATTGAGATGGAGTTTTGCTCTTGTTGCCCAGGCTGGAGTACAATGGCGCCATCTCAGCTCACCACAACCTCCTCTTCCCAGGTTCAAGCAATTCTTCTACCTCAGCCTCCGGAGTAGCTAGGATTACAGCATGGGCCGCGATGCTCAGCTAACTTGGTATTTTTAGTAGAGATGGAGTTTCTCCATGTTGGTTAGGCTGGTCTTGAACTCCCGACCCAGGTGATCTGCCCACCTTGGTCTCCCAAAGTGCTGGGATTACAGAAATGAGCCACCACACCTGGCCTTGTCTTCTTTTTAAAAAAAAAAAAAAAATTTTTTTGTGGCACTGTCTCACTCTGCCACCTTGTCTGGAGTGCAGTGGTGCAATAATAGCTCACTGCAGCCTCAAGCTCCTGGGCTCTGGTGATCCTCCTGCCTCAGCCTCCTGAGTAGCTAAGACCACAGGTACATGCCACCACATCCAGCTAATTTTTGTATTTTCTGTAGAGACAGGGTTTCGCCATGTTGCCCAGGCTGCTTTTGAACTCCTGGGATCAAGTGATCCTCCTGCCTTGGCCTCCCGAAGTGCTAGGATTACAGGTGTGAGCCACAGTGCCAGCCCTTTTTGTCTTCTGAAACTGCTTAATTGTGTCTTAGTGTGGGTATGTCCATATACGTATGTCATGCTTTTATTTTAAAATACAGATGCACAGAAAGTTGCAAAGATAGTACAGAGAGATCCCACGTATCCTTTACCCAATTTCCTCAGTAATTAGGTATTTCATAACTATAGCACAATATCAAAGTCAGCACATTGACATTGGTCTAACATGTATATAGTTCTATGCCATTTTATTGTACATGCATATAGCTGTCACAACACTTGAGATGTAGAAATATTGTATCACCATGAAGTAAAAAAAGAAAGATTCTATCACTACGAAGATCTTCATGCTACCCTTTACAGTCACATCAACCTTTGAACACCCACCGTCCCTAACCACTAATTTGCTCTTCATCGCTATACTTTTGTCAATTTGAAAACGTTATTAAGAATTGAATTGTAGGCCGGGCGCGGTGGCTCAAGCCTGTAATCCCAGCACTTTGGGAGGCCGAGGCGGGTGGATCACGAGGTCAAGAGATCGAGACCATCCTGGTCAACATGGTGAAACCCCGTCTCTACTAAAAATACAAAAAATTAGCTGGGCATGGTGGCGCGTGCCTATAGTCCCAGCTACTCAGGAGGCTGAGGCAGGAAAATTGCTTGAACCCAGGAGGCGGAGGTTGCGGTGAGCCGAGATCACGCCATTGCACTCCAGCCTGGGTAACGAGCGAAACTCCGTCTCAAAAAAAAAAAAAAAAAAAAAAAAGAATTGAATTGTGTCCCCTGCCAAAAATGGTATGTTGAACTCCTAACACCCAGCATCTCAGAATGTGCTCTTTCTTGGAAAGAGGGTCTTTGCAGAGGTCATCAAGTTGAAATGAGGTCATCAGGGTATCCTTCTGAAAAGGGGAAAATTGGACACAGAGGCAGACACAGATGCAGGGAAGACGTTGCAAAGTGACACACGAAGAATGCCACATGGAAAGTGGATGCTGCCACATGCCAGGGGACATCTGGGACCACCAGAAGCTGGAAGAGGCAAGGAAGGACCTTCCCGAGCACGTTCCAAGGAAACGTGGCCCTGCCAACAGCTTAGTTTCTGACTTCTAGCCCTCAGAACAGTGAGATGATAAATTTCTGTCATTGTAAGCCCCCCAGTTTATGGTGCTTCGTAGGAAACTGCCATGGTTATATAAGTGAAAACATCCAGCATGTGTGACCTTTTGAGACTGGCCTCTTCCCCACTCCAGCATAATGCCCTTTTGCATATAGTTTGGTCACATTTCTTTATTTACTCTGCCTTTTAATTGATGTATTTAGACCATTATAGTCAAGTAAATGTTGATATATTAGAGCTTAAGTCTACCATTGTAATTTTTGTTTTCTGCCTGTTCCTTCTGTTTGTTTCTTTTTGTTTGTTTGTTTTGTTTTTCTTTCTTGTGGGTTACTTGACCAGGTTTTAGAATTCCGTTTTGATTTATCTGCAGTATTTTTGAATTTATATCTCTTTGTATAGATTTTTAGTGGCACTCTGGGTGTTATATTATGCATACATAACTTTTCACAATCTATTGCTATCAATATTTTACCAGCTTGAGTGAAATATAGAAACTTTACCTCCCTTCAGATCTCTTTAGTTTTCCTAAATATTTCTTCTACATAGATTGATAACCATACGAGATGATGTTTGCTTCAACTGTCAAACATAACCTGGAAAACTTAAGGGGTGAAGGAAAGTTTGTATGTTTACCTGTGGTTGCACTTATCCCATCATCCTTTCTTCCTTTCTAATGTTCCAAGACGACGTCTTTTGTCATTTCCTTTCTGTTTTAAGAACTTCCTTTAGCCTTTCTTGTAGGATCGATCTGTTGAAAACAAATTCTTTTAGTTGTTCTTTGTCTCAGGGTATTTTTATTCTTCCTTTATTCTGGAAGAATAGTTTCACTGGATATAGAATTGGTATAGAATTGGGTTGATTTTTTTTTTTTTTGAGACAGAGTCTGGTTCTGTCACCCAGGCTGGAGTACAGTGGTGCAATCTTGGCTCATTGCAACCTCCGCCTCCCGGGTTCAAGTGACTCTCCTGCCACAGCTTCCCAAGTAGGTGAGATTATAGGCACACACCACCATGCCCAGCTAATATTTGTATTTTTTAGTAGAGACAGGATTTTACCATGTTAGCCAGGCTGGTCTCGAACTCCTGACCTCAGATGATTCACCCACCTCAGCCTCCCAAAGTGCTGGGGTTACAGGTGTGAACCACCATGCCGGGCCAGATTTTTATTTGTTTTATTATACTTTAAGTTCTGGGGTACACGTGCAGTATGTGCAGGTTTGTTACATAGTTATACATGTGCCATTGCTAGTTAGCTGCATCCATCGCCCCATCATCTACATTAGGTATTTCTCCTAATGCTATCCCTTCCCTAGTCCCCGACCGGCGATAGGCCCCAATGTGTGATGTTCCCCTCCCTGTGTCCATAAGTTCTCATTGTTCAACTACCGCTTATGAATAAGAACATGCAGTGTTTTGTTTCCTGTTCTTGTGTCAGTTTGCTGAAAATGATAGTTTCCAGCTTCATCCATGTCCCTGCAAAGGACATGAACTCATCTTTTTTTTATGGCTGCATAGTACTCCATGGTGTATATGTGCCACATTTTCTTTATTCAGTCTATCATTGATGGACATTTGGGTTGGTTCCAAGTCTTTGCTATTGTGAACAGTGCCACAATAAACATGCATGTGCATGTGTCTTTATAATTGTTTATAATTCTTTGGGTATATACCCAGTAATAGGCTTGCTGGATCAAATGGTATTTCTAGTTCTAGATCACTGAGGAATCGCCACACTGTCTTCCACAATGGCTGAACCAATTTACACTCCCACCAACAGTGTAAAAGCATTCCTATTTCTCCACATCCTCTCCAGCATCTGTTTTCTCTTGATTTTTTAATGATCATCATTCTAACTGGTATGAGGTGGTATCTCATTGTGGTTTTGATTTGCATTTCTCTAATAACCAGTGATGATGATCTTTTTTTATATATTTATTGGCTGCATAAATGTCTCCTTTTGAGACGTGTCTGTTCATGTCCTTCACCCACGTTTTTATTTTTAATTTTTTTTGGTAAATTTGTTTAAGTTCTTTGTAGATTCTGGACTTTAGCCCTTTGTCAGATGGGTAGATTACAAAAACGTTCTTTTCTGTAGGTTGCCTGTTCACTCTGATAATAGTTTCTTTTGCTGTGCAGAAGCTCTTTAATTAGATCCCATTTGTCTAATTACTTTTGCCATTGCTTTTGGTATTTTAGTCATGAAGTCCTTTCCATGCCTATGTTCCGAATGGTATTGCCTAGGTTTCTTCTAGGGTTTTTATGGTTTTAGATCTTACATTTAACTCTTTAGTCCACCTTGAGTTAATTTTTGTATAAGGTGTAAGAAAGGGCTCCAGTTTCAGCTTTCTGCATATGGCTAGCCAGCTTCCCCAACACAATTTATTAAATAAGGAATCATTTCCCCATTGCTTGTTTTGGTCAGTTTGTCAAAGATCGGGTGGTTGTAGATGTGTGGCATTATTTCTGAGGCCTTTGTTCTGTTCCATTGGTCTATCTCTGTTTTGGTACCAGTACCATGCAGCTTTGATTACTGTAGCCTTGTAGTATAGTTTGAAATCAGGTAGTGTGATGCCTCCAGCTTTGTTTGTTTGTTT